GCAAGGTTTTGACACCTCTCACCATGAAATGGCTTGTTCCTATTCAGGCTGCCTGGACTAGTTAATCCTTTGTCCTTCTATTCAATTTGCAACCATGGTATCAAGGCCTAGAAATACTTAGCAACCAATATCCTGGGTCTTGGTATAAATTCCTCTTAAACTGTAGCACTTGATAATGATCTGACAATTAACACCATTCCATATTTCACTTCTAACTCAGACAAACCCAGCTACGCATAGGCAAATTCTGTATCAGCTGAACCTGGTGAAAATACTAGCACTATTTTTTTCAAATCACAGGTCATTGATTGTTAAAAATCCATACACTGTAAGGGACCATCCAGATAATGTAGAGCGACCTTCCGGATAACAACTGAGGCCAAAGACCTCTCTCCTTGTCTCCAACCAGTAGTTCCTTCCTCAGAGTCACCAATTCTGTTTCAGTTGTAGCAGTGGACAAGGCCTGTTACCTTTTTTTCTATACATTATAATCACACATTTGATTGGGTAATTTTACCAATGGGTCATTTCTGCTCCTTTTTGTCCCATCTCAACTGACAGGAGAGAGGGACAGTGATATCACCTTTTACACGTCTCTCCATGCCCCCATATCTACACACTCTTAATAGCAATGAAGTTCCTTTGAATCTACCCTGACTGTCTGTAGCTCTACAAACCACTAGAATTTAAAGATTTTAGAAACTTAAAGCTCAGTCGGGTTGTAGCAGAGGTCTCTGATGGCTTCTACACAATGTTAGCTGGATAATCTGTTCTGCAGTCAGAACAGGCTGGATATCGCAAGTGCTGTCTTTGAATAGCTATGTGAAAAGACAGCCTACATAATAGATATATTAGACTGACGTGTAAGGTCCTTTCAGGACTGGAAAAATCCTAAATCAGTCAAAGACCAGGATTCAGAGAATAAATTTGCCATGCTATTCATGTTTCTCACCCTTACCTGTGGTGGCTTCAATGCTTTTCAGCTCAAGGAGAAATTCTGCAGTAGACCTGGGTGCATACACACGTACGTGTGGGCAGATGCTTGCACATGTAACACAATGGAAGCTTATGAAAACAACATTGTAAAAGCAAGAGCAGTATAGGTTATTCATTATCAAGGCAATAGTAACAAAGCAAGAATATTTAGCTGTTTCATGCTGGAAAACAGCAAAAATGGCTATTATCTTCTGAAGGGCCTTAAGACTTCCTCCAGTGCTGCCTTTGTTATGCTCAGGCCAAGCTGCCGCATGCCCGTCTCTTGGGAAGAGCCCCAGCCTGGGGCTACAGTGTTTGGGGACAGCCAGTGACATCCCCACTGAGGACTCTGGCAGGCACGCAAGGGTACAGGCACTCTGAAATGTCCAAGCCTTAGGAAAATAAGTAAATGATAATAATAGAGCATCGATGGACACTTACACATTATAACTTGTTGCTTGTTAAGTGGTATAACAGCGTTTTACCACATGGAAACAGTACAGCTGCATTATGTTGCCATTACTTGCCATCCACACAGTCCCACCTACACTGCACGATGTTGCACTCCTTCAACGTACACCCAGAGCGACATTTACTTTCTCACAGAAAGCCATGAAAGAGGCATTATTTCCTTGCCTGACAATGTGATTATAGCAGCTCTCAGCATAGAAAAGAATTTGACCCATAACATTTAATCAACCTACATTTTTGTTCTTTCCTAGCAGTTGCTTTTTCTCTACAGCAGAAAGACATGCACAGGTTAGCAGCCACCCGCAACGGAATTAGCCATGTATATCTCATGGAGGGGATGAACACAGAACATGGACACTGCAGTCCTGACCAAAAAAGTAACCAGACCAAAAAAATCCTTAGACACGCTGTAGCTAGATGTTAGTTGGGCAGGCAATGAGGCTTTAGAAGCAGATAATACAACTACTCTGATATCACAGCAGATTACAGTCTGGCTGAAACTCAGTTTCTGTTAGAAAAAGCAGGTTGACAGAAATCAAAATACTCATGAAAGTGACATGACCCCAGCAGGCTGTTACAGAGTTTTCCCCTGCTGCTACCTCTTAAAAACGTGAACTGTGATTGCTTTTTGAAGAAAATGCCTTATTTTTCATTTTAAATTTATATTTGATATTTATTTTCAGCATTTTTGTTGTATGACACAGTAGATCATAAAATAAAAAGCCAAAAACCAAATACATGTTTTCCCTTTTGTTTCAGGAGATTAATTTTAGAAGCACTCATTAGAAGAAGTTTGGGTGTTCAGTTTTCATCCCAATTTAAAAAAGCAACATTTTTGAGAATTTCAGAAGCCTATAATACAATTATCATGGTTATTGCTAGCTCTACTTTTAACTGATCACAGTTCACAGAAATATAGGTGCTTTGAAGTCAGATTTAAGACCCTACATTTTCCATGTAAAAACAACTAAAGGTTTTTACCTTCGAAAGACAGAAAACGTTTTTAATATTTATATTTAAATCAATTTTCAAAGGTAATAGAAATCTCCATGTGTGTCTGAAATACATCCCTTTAAAGTCATTACTATACAGAGAGCTGGAGAGGTGTCTGTGAACATTTACTGTCTATGAGGAATTCAGATTGCATGTCTTGAAATTAGTCACTTGGAAAACAATTTGAATCTTAGGCAGATTGGACTCACAAAATGAAAACCTGATACCATAAGGAGAGAGTGGATAGCCTCCTATTATTTGTCCTCTACCAGATGAAGAAATAACCGTCCTTGAGCGAGTATCCAAGAGCTGCGATTATTCAGTCTATATATCTCACATTTCTAAAGGAAAAACCACTTGATTTGACAGCAAACCACTTCCTCCAGAAAATCCACATAACATCTCCCTAATTCCCCACTAGTTTATGTGCCCTAAACTACTTATGCCAGTGGAGTCATATTTGACTTACTCCAGTTTGATACATATATTCAAGCCCTGCAAGGCTGTATTTGCAGAGATTCATGCACCATTATGTGCCATTTTAGTAACTGAGCCCTAAAATGTCTAGGTGACTTCAGCCAGAGATTTTGGAGCTTGAGGTGTAAAACTGGCAGAGAAATAGACTCTCCAGTCTACTTTGTTTCAAGTCAGAGCAGGAGAGGTGCCTGCTCCAGACAGGAGGAGTAGGTGCCTTTCTTAATGAAGGACGTCAAGCATTTCTAGTGCCTAGCACAGTTGTTGACTGTGGTGCATCTGTAACATTTGTTACAGGGAGCAAGGAATTTCCTACTCTCATGAAGTGTCTCCTCTCCCGGATGCAAGGTTTGTGAACGTTTCTGAGCTTTGGCACTGATCTTCATTCGCAGGGCAAACACCCAGCACAAGACAGCTTTAATCTCAGAGACCCAGAGTATGTTTACCTCCAGCTCTAAGAGAATTGGCATTACTCATCAGTAAGGGATAAAAGACTGAAATCAGGTATTGTCAGCCCCACAATCATAGCTTACACTGCTGGCACACAGGCTGTGGCAAACTTGAAAAGGAAAGACAACCAGACAGTCTCACTTGCATGCAGCACACATCTACTCTCAGCTTGCCACAGTACACTCTGACATTCTTGGTGGTTCTCTTCTGGATTATATCGGTTCTTATAGTGAACTTCCCGTTGTAATATCTCAGTGCCTGGAAAGCCACCAAGTAAATCAAAAGCAATGTATTATTGCAAGTTACTTTCAAAAAAAAAAAAAAACCCTCATTTTCAGAAATGATGTTTTTGGTATTTTAATAACAGGATGCTTGCGGTTCCTAAGTATAAAAGAGAACTGGGCTTACAACAAGCCAGGGGGAGATGTTTACACATATAAATCCTACTTAGATGCCTAATTCTTGTTCACTTTCTATAAATACCTTTGTGGATTTGGGCTTTACTACTCTTAACATGAGTTCAATGAGAGATTAGGAGCACTGCAAACTCCAACTCAGGAGACATAAAATTATCTCCTATTAACACATAGGTGCTTCCCAGGTCTGCAATTTTTACAAAAGGTACTCACAGGATAGCCTCAAGAAAAAGGTCTTTCTCATCCAAAGAGATCACATCTCAGATGATTCATACAACATTAGACTGATCAGTAAGAAGTCAAGTGAACCAACCTGCAATGCAGTCTTAATTTCCGTAGAGCAGCAACTGAAGGAAGGAGAATGTGGCTTCCCATATCAAGGGTAGAAAAACCCCCAGATAAGGTATCAAAGAAATACAGAAGAGCCTTACCTCAACGTGAACTGATCTTCTGTTGAATTCTTAGCAACAGATACAAGGAAAGTCAAAATGTCACCTTGCTTGACAGTCTTTGGTGCATATTGAATGGCAATATTATTATCCAACCTCATTTCATTTAAGGAAGGGCCAGCATGTGTCTGGTAAAGGAAAACACTTCCAATCCTTTGCAAGGGAGGTCCTGACTCATCAATGTCATTGCGCCCTGGTCGGATCCCATTACTTTTCCTTACATCCTCCTTGGTGCATTCCCCTCTCTCATCTCCTGGCTGTATGGCATAGTAAAGCTCCACAGGGCTCCCTTCAGACTGATCCATTGGTTTCTTACGGCCAGCAACAACCGTTGGAGGGTTAAACCAGCTCGGCAGGAGTTCCAGCTCTGCCACGCACAACCCCAGGTCCCCTTTCAGCCTGCAGCTGCCTCTGACTTCCCGTGTCTCTCGAAAGGCAAACACTCGCAGGCAGGGCAGCTGCTCTGTGGTGCTATAGTCATCCCAGTCCCTGCCCACAATGTAGAACAGGATCTGGACTTTCGGCTTGCTTGGGTAAATTTTATCACTCATTATGAAAGCTTTCAGTTTCCAGTTGAAGGAGAACTTGTTAGTAGATTCAAATGGATTTGAAGACAACATTAAGTCCTGGGGCACGACTTGTTCAACAGAAAAAGGTCCATAGCTGGCATTTAACACAGGCGGCCTCTTGGATTTGTAGATCAGAAAGGATTCCACTCGGGACTGCAAGCTGGAATTCCTCATAATATCCTGATTGGCTTCCTTGAGAAAGAAGGAAATATCTGCATTGTGGATACGATAGCTCACAGGCAAGTAAGTCGGCAGTAAAGAAAATCTTTGTATGCTCTCCAGGATCCCACGACTCTCAGTCACTGTTAAAAAGAAAGGATAATTTAGAAGATCAAACATAAAAAACATTCCATATTAGGTTGCAATCAGATCTCTCACCATTGTAAAGATAACGTAGATCTGGCAGAAACCTGGAGAAGAAATAAAATTATTAGCACTACTGACTTGACTTTAGGTTTCATTGCAATGTCTTTGGCCAGTTTTTAAAGGTAAACTCAGATTCTTAAAACTGCAGCATGACTTAGAAAAACACAATTACAATTGAACTGACAGTGCCTCCAAATCTGTCGCAACTCTTGGAAAGTGGTTCCAGTGGCCAGTGCCACTCCCTCTCTGCTGCACTTCACTTCCCATCACACATCTACCGTCTCCCGCAGGTGACCCCCGTACCAGCTCACTAGTCAACCCAGCAAACTGCTCTTCATCCAGCTGCTGGTGCAGGAGCTAAGTACTTGCCGGAGGCTCCAAATGACCCAGTGAGATCACCTGAGACTTTCAGATAATGTTTATGAACAGGGATGAATATTACTCTCTTAATATTGCCAGCTAAAAGCTTTATAAAATTGAACTTAAAAAATACGCATGATTCACCAGCTTCAATATTAAAGTGTCATAAGATATTAAAAATAATAAATTTTATCTATATTTGCTTGTGCAGTTTCAGTCTTACAGTTCACATTCCTAAGAAGTTTTTTACAATATTGGGCATTAAAAACTTGCTGAGAAAAAACAAAAACAAAGTAAGCTGAGATTCCTTTGAATTCACATGACTCAAGAATCCGCTGTCTCATAAAACAGTTGGGGACTCTCAGTAAAATCTGAAGAGCTGGCAACACTTCTCTCCGGACGTGACAATTTTAAGTAGACCATATTAAGCCTAGATTTACCTCCTTCTTCATTCATGCAGTGATGTAACCTCCCTGCTTTAATGGGGGTTGACAGTGGGACAGGTGGCATTAGTAGAAATAACAAGAATCATCAACCCAAGCAGATACAGCCTAGGTAGATGGTGTTTAATGTAGTTAGCTTGGATAACAACAGGTTATGTTACATTCTGCATGGCAGCTGGATAAAAGCTAGCTTGTGTAGGTTTACCCATGCCAAAGGCCACACAAGGCCACATCTTTACTTACTTTACTTGCAACATAGATTTATTATGGGAGAGCAAAGTTACCTAGGCAGCATCTGCAACACAACACCACTGCACAGACAACACTAAAAAAGAAATCTAATCATTAGAGCAAGCTGCGCGTAAACAGGAAACCAAAGTAATGATTTGACATCAAATACTGCTCATGGACCACTTACATTTCACATCAGCCTTATTTTCAGGGCTGTCAAGCAAAATATGGACTTGAAGCCGTTTCCTGTACAAGGCTGAATTTCACTTTAAAAACAATTAGCCCAACAACCATTAACACAAAGGCTCCTTCACACCACTCCAGCACTAGAGAACTAGAGGATTTCAAAAAGAGCTTTCTTTGCATCCTATTTATGTTCCCTTCCATTTCACTTCTTCTGTGAAGAAGGTTTTTTCTGTAAATAACTATCAGGACTTGCACCACTGTTGTTGCCTAACCCTACATTATACCTTAATACAACTACGTTATCTGTATTGTACTGCTGCTGGACATTGAAATAACATTTTCAGTGACACAAATGACTCTTACTGCCAGATATCTATGTTAACTGTGCCGTTGAGCAATTACCTGAGGTAGGCTATTGTATTAAGGAATAAGCTCTTCATCCTTTCTAGGAACTGTCAGTTCCAAAGAGTAAAGCCATGCACTGTTAGACAACAATACCAGAAGCAAATACAATATGACATTTCCTATCTGAACATGTGACCTTCATACTTATGGATAGGTACCCAAATTGTGCAATAAAATTGCACATTTTTCCCTAGCAACTTCAAATCCTTATACATGATTCAGAAAGGTGACAAAGGGTTACCACAGATGACATTCAATGTAAATCTGATTTCCCAAGCTGTATTGCACAAATGCTTTATTAGTCCTTATTTTGTTTGACATCTGACCTAAATAACTATTGTCTAGACATGTACTGCAGTTGCCTAAGCTGGTGTTAGTTACTCCTAACCACCCAACTACCATGCATGCACTGTAATCTAGAACACAGGGCTAGAACAGGCTTGGTATCTTCAAAACCTATGGGAAGGTATTAGTTCCTAAAAACTCTGATTTCAGACCGGAAACTCACCAGAAACAACCTGGAAAATGCCTCTCTCAGCAATGATCATCTATCTACCCATGGGCAGCATGATCTGAAAGAGGCATTTGTCTTTGCAGGTGACGAAAGGAAAGGCACTCAGACTGACGCCACTCACATGTCACGTGGGTGCCTCCACAGCAAAGCAGGCCCTGCAGAAGATCTGAACCACTAACTCAGTCTAACCTCACATGAGTAACTTTGCGCTGCTGTTCCAGGTCCAACAAACATGAGTATTACTATTTATTTCCCCTCGCTCTTTGTCTGTGAATACTGCAAACGCATCAGATGGAGGATGTAGCCTAGTATATATGTTTGAGTATCATCTACAGTAACAGGGCTGTGATCTCAGTGAGGGTCTCTAGGCACTAAAGCAATGCAAAACAATAAACTGAAAAATAGGAGTAAGTAATTTTCCATGTGGAAAAGGAAAACAAGCTGGTTATAAAGAACAACCAGATAAAGATGGGCATGATGCAGCTGTGAGACAGAAGACAAATCTCAAACAGAGAAAGGGGCCAGCTGCAGAGAGGAGAGTTTCACAGTTTTGGAAATCTTTCTCTCCTCCATCTTGAAAAGCTAACATTTCTTATTCCCCCCCCCCCCCCGAAATAGTCAACATAAAGCCTTCATTTAAAAAGTTGAGTTAATGCCAAGTCTTCAACACCACCAAAGAACCAGGAAATGGCCTCAGACCATCATCATCATATAAGACTCTGTGAAGAACAGCAGCAACAAAAGTGATAACCAGTGATAACTAAAGTGATAACCAGTGATCCTT